ATGGATGAATCTCAAAAACAGAATGTTTGAATTTAAAAAAGAAAGTTTCAGGATCATATGTACTACCTTTCATGCAAATTTAAAAAAACACCTCCAAACAGGCTGGTCTGGAGATACTGAGTTATCTCCATTGATTGTTCCCTGTCAGGTACAGATAGAACTGCTTGTTCTCCTCTTTCCCCCTTCTCACTACTGCACTTGACTAGTACTAAAAAAAAAAAAGAAAAAAAATCCAAACAATGGCAAATATTGTTCATGGATACATATAGGTAGTAAAAATTTTAAATGGATTTTAAAGGATAAACACCAATTTCATGATTGCAGTTACTTCTCAGGAAACAGGATCAGGGAAGGGCCAGATAAGGTTCAAATGTAGCGTTAACATTTAGAATAAAGATGCAAAGCTGATCTGGCAACATATCATTTATTACATCTGCAAGGTGGAAACTCTGGTTCATGTTGTACTTTTCTGTAGGTTGACATTTTTTCACAATTAAAAAAGTAAGAGAAAAACAAATACTAGTGGTGCTATGAACAGAATGTTTGTGTCTACCCCCTCCACTGTCCACATATTAAAACCCTAATCCCCAATGTGATGATATTTGGAGGTAAGGCCTCTGGGAGGTGATTTGGTCATGACGGTGGAGGCCTCACAAATGGGATTAGTGCCCTTATAAGAAGAGACAAGAGACAGCTATCTCTCTCAGCTATGGGAAGATATGGCTATCTGCACACCAGGAACAGAATCAGCCAGTGCCTTGATCTTGAACCTCCAGACTCCAGAACGGTGAGCAATAAACTTCGATTGCCTAACACATTAACTGCCATGTGAGCTGTATTTAACTCATGCTAGTTTTGAGTCTGGGGCCTCACGAAGCATATGTAACTCACATGTCTCTTTACCTTGAGCCATGTGAATTATTGTCCAAGTTACATATAACTCACTCATGGAAAATAAGGAAAAATACAAATTTTTCATTAAATTAGAAGGAATGGTTTCATTTTTGAAGTTTTAATTCTATTTTCGTAATAAAACACCATGGCCCCAAGGAAACAAAATTTTTTTCCTAGTGTGGCAATGAGTTAACTACACAGTCTATGTCATTGGTTATAGCAGCCGAAGCTAAGCGGGAACTTGTGGCTTCCCCCAGCCTCAACTTCCTCCCAGAGACTCTGAGGCTCTCCAGGAAGCACAGGCACGTGGGCTGGTTTTACCACTCTGAGAAACTTGCTCTGCACGCCAGTCCCAGAAGACTTTCATTTGGGGTGCATACAGTAGGTTGGGCAGAATTGGGATCCCCTCAAGTTTCCAGTCCACTCGGTGGGAGGGAACTCATTTCTTTGACCCACTGGGAATTCTCTGTCCTCCCCCAAGACTGAGGTGGGACAGGCTTTGGCCCCGCGCTCCCTGTGGACTTGGAAACCGGAATGTCAGGTACCTCCTGCACAGCCACACTGCCATGTGATTTCAGTCTATCCGGTTTGCCTGACCTCACTTGGGCCTGGGCTGCCGCAGCTTCCTTGTCCCAGTGCTGCCTTGGTGCAGCCAGCACATGGGACAACATGACTTTCCTCTTTTTTGCAGTCAACAAACCCATCACCCCTTAGCACTATTCTTGCTGCCTCAACTCAGAACAATCTGGAACTGAGAACTCTTTCTTTCATTTACCATCTATCTTTAAAGTCAGTACATTATTCCTTTTTCCCTTTTCCTCTTTTCCCCTTTTCTGCTTTTTCTTTTTCTTTTTGAGACTGGGTCTCACTCTGTTGCTCAGATTGGAGTGCAGTGGTGCAATCATAGCTCACTACCACCTCAAACTCCTGGGCTCAAGTGATCCTCCTGCCTGAGCCTCCCAAGTAGCTGGGACAATAGGTGCGGTATAGCACACCTGGCTAATTTTATTAATTTTTTTTTTTTTTTGTAGAGACAAGGTCTTGCTATGTTGCCCAGGCTGGTCTCAAACTCCTGGCCTCAAGTGATCCTCCTGCCTCAGCCTCCCAATGTGTTGCGTTTACAAGCATGAGCCACTGTGCTCAACCTCCATTCTCTATTTTTGCATTTGCTTCTCTGGTTTCTGCACATGAGTTTGTTCAACTTGTGTGTCCACTTCTTCCTCTGGTCTGTCCTAGTGTTCCATTTTTTCTGATGTTTCTCTTTTCCCCTTATATTGCTCTCTCTCCCCCACTGCATGTGTGTGAAAAAATCGGTGAGAGCTTCCCATCCTGAAGACTTATGGGGAAACCATAGGGAACTCTGAGTATGAGCATAACATGGGTGGAGGTGGAAGAACATAATCCATTGCAAAACAATCTTAGCAGTACAGGATCTGCAATCCCAGGAGATGGTAGCCATTGAAATCCCACACATCTCAGTGGAATTTTATTCAAGGCTTTCTTGAGCTCTCAGTGTTATCTAAGGCATTCCACTGAACAGAACTGTTTCCCACTAGCTCATAGATTAGTGGGAGTTGGGACAAGATGGTGTAAGAGTTAGTTGACATAGAGGTTTTCTCAGGGGTCTGTGATGATTCCAGGAACATTCTTTGGGTCACTAAGCAAGGTTCTTCAGCCAGATCTTCAGCTTCCAGGCCCTAGAGTCCAATGTTTGCAGCTAAAAAAGTTTATGACTTTTCCCATGGAGGCACCCTCCTTATTCCAAAGTCTATAAATTGGGTTTCGGGTTTGCTGGAGACTAAGAGAATCTAGTGACCTGACAAAGTTGTATCTTGGTGTTAGGCTGATTCTAATAAATTATAAATTAAAGTAGCCACACTGAGTGAAGTTACCCACCCAGCCCAAGTTATATGAACAGGGGTTTAAGATATCAGTGCTCTCATATTTCATATGACCATGCTGGATCTAAATGGAAATTTTATTCAATGTGGCCACTTAAGAGGGAATATCATGTCTGAGTTATTTTAAAAAGGCAGTTCTGTCTTCCCATAAAACTTTTATCCTTTCGGGGTTTTATAAGCATCCCTGTCGCCTGAAATGGAGGCAGGCATTATCACTGTCATGTCATGGATGGAGAGATGGTGCACAGACATTAATCGACTTTCACCTTGCAGGGCAATGGCTGAGTCATTCAGGGTCACAGTTCTCCTTTTGCAGCTTATTCCACAGGACAGCATCAGCTCGTGGTATTTGAGTTAAAACTCCTGGGCTCTATTGCTGATGGAGGCAGTCCTGGTGACCTTGAGCAACTTTCACATTCTCTCTGAATGCCTGTTTCCTTAGGTTTGGATAGCAAAACTTATCCTTTTTATTTTTTTTTAAATCAGGAATGATGGAATGCCAGTGAATCAGAGATGAGGGATTCCATGTTATATCGGAGCACAGAATCTGTAGGGCAGAAAGAAGGCAGCTGGCCTAGTGATCCTGAAATTTTGCCTTACAGGGGAATTAGTGAAGGAATTTAAAAAAAAATTACAGATTCTTGAGCCCATCCTGGATCTACTGAAATGGAAAATACCAATCTGAGGACCAGGATTCTGTATTTTTAAAAATCATTCCAGGCCAGGCACAGTGGCTCACGTCTGTAATCTTTGTACTCAGGAAGGCCAAGGCGGGAGGATGGTTTGAGCTCAGGAGTTTGAGACCAGCCTTGGCAAAAATGAGACCCTGGCCGGGCACAGTGGCTCAAGCCTGTAATCCTAGCACTCTGGGAGGCCGAGGCGGGCAGATTACTCGAGGTCAGGAGTTCGAAACCAGCCTGAGCAAGAGCAAGACCCCGTCTCTACTATAAATAGAAAGAAATTAATTGGCCAACTAATATATATATATAAAAAAAATTAGCCGGGCATGGTGGTACATGCCTATAGTCCCAGCTACTCGGGAGGCTGAGGCAGAAGGATTGCTTGAGCCCAGGAGTTTGAGATTGCTGTGAGCTAGGCTGACGCCACGGCACTCACTCTAGCCCAGGCAACAAGCGAGACTCTGTCTCAAAAAAAAAAAAAAAAAAAAAAAAAATGAGACCCTGTCTCTAATAAAATTGGAAAGAAATCAGTTGGTAACTAAAATAGAAAAAATTAGCCGGGTGTGATGGTGCATGCCTGTAGTCCCAGTCAGACAGGAGGCTGAAGCAGAAGGATTGCTTGAGCCCAGCAGTCTGAGGTTGCTGTGAGCTAGGTTAATGCCATGGCACTCTAGCCCAGGCAACAGAGAGAGAAACTCTGTCTCAAAAAAAAAAAAAAAAAAGTCATTCCAGCTGGTGTAGTGCAGGTTTAGAAGCCATGGCTTCAGTGGAATGACTCCAAGTGGGAGAGGGGACATCTGGATGTGCAGTTTAAATAAATAGGCCACAGGGCCAGAAATACAACCCCCTTAAAGACAATGGACTGGGCAGGAGTGTTGGGAAACCCTGGACTTGTTTTTGCCAGTAGGTCCTTGAGTTTAAGTCTGGAAGCTGGAAAGAGTCTTGCATGGAGCAAGTGCTCAATGTCAACCAGCTTGTGATCTTGGGCAAACCACCCTCCCTGTCTGGGCCTCAGTTTCCTCATATATTAAATGAAGGTGCAGACTTGTTGATCTCTAAGTTGTTCTGTGACACTTGACATGTACCAAACATCCTTTTCTATGTGAGCATACCATAAGTCAAAAGGCTGCTCATTATCTTAATTTTCTACAGTGCTTTCTATGACTCAGTGCTTGTCCCACTGGACCTTCAGTCCCAGGCCACCTCGAGCATCATAAATGCTGGGCCCATCATAAATACCGTGCCCAGCTCTATGTGCGATGGCCCATAGAACTCAAACCATTCCAAGATGATCCTCTGCATTTCAGGCTGGAAAAGCAACCTCCAACAAGGTGAGGTTTGGAAGAAAAAGTGGTTTGGTTTGGAGGGAGTTAAGTATCCTATAAGACATCTCTGCTGTGGGTGAGGGTAATTCTATCTGCTGTCTGCGGCTTCAGAAAGTGGCAAAAGATGGCTCCAGCAACTGGCAAAGAGAAAACATTTTCCAGTTACCATGCTCACCTTGCTCCTGAGTCATGGCCACTGCTGGCAGAAGCATGTAATCTTATAGTTCCTGGCACCTGTGTTGGTTGCTCAGGTCCAAGCCAAGAGAGGAGACTAAGCAAAGAAAGGCTGCATCTGCAGCCTCACTTCTGTAGGCCAGAAATGACCAAGTGTGCACCATGACTGGACGGGAACCGAAAGGGAACAGTTTAGGTAAGAGAGCCCAAGGCCAAGGAGCCAAGTAATAATAGATTTTATTGGTTTTGTTGTTGTTGTTGTTGTTGGAGTTGATTAAATTCAACGGAGGAAACATTTATTGAGCACCCAATATGCATCAGGAAATATATAAGGTTGGCAAGGCGCCGTGGCTCACACCTGTAATCCTAGCACTCTGGGAGGCTGAGGCGGGCAGATCGTTTGAGCTCAGGAGTTCGAGACCAGCCTGAGCAAGAGTGAGACCCCATCTCTACTAAAAATAAGAAAGAAATTATCTGGACAACTTAAAATATATAGAAAAAATTAGCCGGGCATGGTGGCACATGCCTGTAGTCCCAGCTACTTGGAAGGTTGAGGCAGGAGGATCACCTGAGCCCAGGAATTTGAAGTTGCTGTGAGCTAGGCTGATGCCACGGCACTCTAGCTCAGGCAACAGAGTGAGACTTTGTCTCAAAAATAAATAAAAATATTCAGCTTCAGGTAGAAAGACTAAAAAAAAAAAAAAAAAAAAAAAGAAAAATAAAAACATAAAATAAAATAAAATAAAATATGTAGTCTTTATGAATTCATAGAGAAAAAGGCATAGTCCCTTTCTTTACAAGTTGATCACCTAGCAGGGAAGTTCTCCATTAAAACAGACAAAACATATCCATTCTATATTGGTGGTGACAGATAGCAAGGAAAGGAGCTTCCTGCAGGTGAAGCAGATGAAGTGATGTTTGATGTGGGCTTGGCCACAGAGAAGGGAGTGGATGGGCCTTCTAGGCAGAGAAGACAAAATTAGCAAAGGCAAGAAGGTGCAGAAAAGCATGGTGTGTTCAGGAACAAGAAGGCAGGTTGGAGATGTGAGGGTGACGGGTGCGCTCAGGAGAGTGGAGGGTGGCAGGGTAAGGAACTGGGCTTACTAGTGTGTGTGCTGGGCGGAGGTGGGGATAGACAGTGGGCTCTTATTAAACAGTCACATTTGTGCTTTGGAAATACTGTCCTGGAAGCAGTGTGGAGGGCAAGCGGGCAGGGAGAACAGGTCTGGGACACATATTAGGAGATCAAGGAAGAAAGGCAGTGGCCAAAGGCTGGGTGGGTCCTATTTTGTTCTGAGTCACAGAATGGCTTTGATGGCATCTGGAGTGGGCAGTGCATGCAAGGAAACCACAAAGGATCATTCCCGGTTGTCTGGTTCAGATGAGCTCCAGAGATACCACTTTCCTCTCTTCCCTTTCTTCTCCCAAGTATGCCTTAGTTGGGGTGAGGTGGAATACGGTTATTTGCTTTTATAATGCTCATGTGAGATAAGTCTGACGCAGATGGTCTAGCAACATACTTTAAGAAACAGTGAGATGGTCAGGTGGGGTGGCTCCCGCCTGTGATCCTAGCACTCTGGGAGGGCGAGGCAGGAGGATTGCTTGAGCTCAGGAGTTTGAGACCAGCCTGTGCAAGAGTGAGACTCCATCTCTACTAAAAATAGAAAACTTAGCTGAGCATCGTGGCACACACCTGTAGTCCCAGCCTCCTTCCTGGGAGGCTGAGGCAGGAGCATGGCTTGAGCCCAGGAGTTTGAGGTTGCAGTCAGCTATGATGGTGCCATTTTACTGCGGTGACAGAGCAAGACTCCGTCTCAAAAAAAAAAAAAAAAAAAAAAAGAGTGTGTTCTTAGAAGCCCCATAAGAAATACTTAAAAATAAACGTTTGCAATATAAATGTATTTATTGTTCACTAAACTGTACACTTAAAAATGGTAATGATGGTAAATTATATATATTGTATATATAATTAACCACAATAAAAGATAAATAAAAACATTAAAAACTGTTCTATTAAAAAAAAGAAGAAGAAGAACATCACCCTAAATGTAGTATATATGATTTTAATAACTGCTGTATTAAGACACAGATGAGAGGGGAAATGCATATTATGATTTATCAAGCACAAAGAATGATGTGCTTCTTCCATTTTGATCTACATATCTACTTTTTTAACCATTAAAAGCAAATATAAATCTGAAAAAAATAAACTTTTGCAAAACTTGTTTAGGAACTGTGTATTATTTAGGGACTGGCTATTAACCTTGGAGGGAATATATATATATATAATTGTGAAATACCAGTTCAGAAACAGGGAACATTGCCAGCACCCCAGGAATCCCCTTTTATGGGCCCTGTTGGCCACTACCCTCTTGTCCTGTCCCCTGCTGACCCCACCCCCACTAGCCTGTTGAAAAAAATTTGCAAATGAATAAGAAATAAAAGCACATCTTCCTCTACTTTTCCCTTTCCAACTTAGTGTACTTTTTCTTCACCTTCCCAGTCTGGTCAAGTTTTTCGGCACCCTGAAGCAGTCTTTAGTTCAATATATACAGTAGTAACAAAATTGTAATCTGGGCTGTCTTTAGCTTGAATTGTGTCTATATAAGATAAGCTATGGTGGCTTATCAATTAATCACCTCTGTAACTTTTTGCAGCTTACACAGCTGGGAGCTTACAAAAAGTCCATTTATCTTAAGAGAAGTATTTGGCTTTGTGTAAACAGTGGTGAGTACACCCTGAACCATTTAATGGGAGGGAAGAGTAAAAAAAAGGATGAATTGTTGAGCCTGGAATCTTAACATTGACTTATTTAGGTTCTTGGCCTCTTTAGAAGCTTAAAGAGCTATTTAGTGGTCTTCTTCCTAAAGCTACGGGTTTTTTTTAACAGGCTGCTAGAATCGCTGACTCCAGCCCCCTCTGATAGATACATTCAACACTTTCATTCATGGAAGAAGGGAGTTGTGTAGAGAGAGGGTCTGCTTAGACCAGAGTGGATGACCCAGATGTTAGATGCGGTAGAGGGAACCACACGGGAGAGTTTGGTTGGACAACAGAGCAGGCGTTAAGGAGATTTGGAAAGATGGGAAAATTGGCAAGAAGGCAGCAGCCTCCCACCTCTGCCATCCTGAAGGCAGCTGGGCCCCACCTCTCCAAGTTCATGTCAAGGTTTACGAGGGTCAGTGTGTTTGTGCTGGCATTTTCGCAAATGGCTCTGCTGTTGTTTTTATTCCAGCTGTTGCTCCAGGGCCTTTCTGGCAGTCCGGACTTCCAGGCCAGCTCGGAATCCCTTGTTAATTGACTCAAGTCATGAAAAGGTGCCATCAAGGCTGCTTTGAACTCTTGCCTATTCCAAAGCTGGACAAATCTCAGGCATGCACAGTAGGAACAGCAGTAATGAGACTCACACCTCCGAGTTTACAGCGCAGGATTTTGCCCGTTCAGGTGGTAAGTGCAGGGAGGAGGTGCAAGCCCAGGGGAACCAGGTTTGAAGAGTAAATAGACCTTGAGAATGTGCTTCCTCCTGGGTCCTAAGCGAGGAAGCCAGGTTGGGAGGAGGGTTCACAGCATTCCCGTCAAAGCCCTGCTGTTAAGAGCATCATGATGACCCAAATAAATTCACAGATATCTGTTACTCCCTGTGTTTTCACTTCACACCAACTGTCCGCAGATGCGACTCAGCTTGGGAGAAACTTGCCAAGAGGTCTCAGTGAGATTTTGCCTGTGAAGCTATTAGTTTTACCCCACTTCATAGAGAGAGGAATATGAAAACAACCTCACGGAGGTCTAGGGAGAAGGGCCACCGCAGTCATCAGGATGTAACTGCTGTGTGTTGCTTTTGAAACACTTTCCTATCTCCTATTTAAAAGCTATGGCAAAGGCATCGTCAATGGAGCAAAATATTTATTTGACTTTTGCGAAACATCCTCAGATAGTAGAGTTGTTAAAAAGTGTTACAGCAACTGTTGTGTGAAATTGACTCCTGTCTCCTCCAGTAGGAGGTATAATTAGACTGTCTTTCATTGATAAATTTTAACATTTTGAAATGAATCTACGGGCAAGCATACCTCTTAAAGTTGTGTCTTAAAGAAGAGGGTCCAGTACATTGTTATTTGTTTGGCAAGAGAGATGAGTCACTAGTAGAAATCAGAAAACAGCGTGTTCACAGGGCTTGGAAAGATTGTCTCAAAATGTAACCCTGGTGCAGGGCGTGGTGGGTGAGGAGTGGTGGCAGATGGAGGCAGAAGCCATAAATTAAAACAGATTTAAGAGTCATATCAACTAAATGCAAGCATAGACCTTATTTGCATCCTGATTTGAACAAATCACTATAAAACAAACAAACAAACAAACAAACAAACAAACTGTGAGACCATTAGGGAAATAAGAACACTGCCTAGATATTTGATGACATTAAAGGATTTTTTTTTTCAATTTAGGTATTGTGGTTATGTTTTTTAAAAAAGTTATCCTTTAGAAATACATTTTATAGGTGAAGTATTTACAGATGAAATGACATGATGTCTGAAATTTGTTTCCAAATAACCCAAAGGGTGAGGGTTAAGTGTATGGGGAGTAGGGTGGGATGGAGGAGAGGGAGGTAAGAGATGAAATAAAATTGGCCTTGAGCCTGATGCTTGTTGAAGATGGGTGGTGGATACGAGAGTGACGAGTTCATTATGTTATTCTCTCTACTTCTCTATGTCGAAAATTTCCATCACGCAAAGTTAAAAAGGAAAGACCTCCATGGGCTAGTACCTCTGACAGCTTTCTTTGGTAGGGGAGGGAAAAGGTACTAAGGATTTCCTCTCAAGTTGGGTATGCAATTTTTACCTTTATTAAATTTGTAATCAGAGAAATCTCATTGGGCTCTTTCTAACCTGATGATTCTTTGATTATATGATTCTGTGAAACTGTGGTCAATTGATATACTGCTCACAATAATCATCAGCACTAGTTCCACATTGGGGCTGGAGCGAGGCAGGAAAGGAAGGGATGATTTCCTGAGCTTTTACTTCTACAAAAGCAGAGATGTGGTCAGAATAGTTGTAATGGGGTGGGGAGCTGCTGGACAACAGGATGTTATGCTTCCGGGCACTTATATTAACGTGGGTGGGAGGGTAGTTATGATTTGTATGGCAAAGCTCGTTTTAAAGAAACTCTAATTTCAAAAATAGTTCATGCCTTCTAATCTATCACAACTGTATTATCATAGTTAGTTATGCATGCTGTGTAACTAATTACCCACAAACAAACATTTATTACAGTCTCTAGGGATCAATCTGGGTGTGGTTTTGCAGGGTGGTTCTGGCTAAAGAGTCTTGCAAGGTTGCCATCAAGGTGTTGTCTGGGGCCGTAGTCATCTGAAAGCTCGACTGAGGGAGGGCCTGCTTCCAAGTTCATTCACGTGGCTACAGGCAAATCTGCTTCCAAGTCCACACGTGTGGGTCTCGCCACAGGGCTGCCTCATGACATGGCGGCTGGCTTCCCCGGAGCAAGTGAGCTCAGAGAGAGCATGAGGGGAAGCATCCCATGGAAGCCACACTCTTTTTATAACATAATCTTGGAAGTGACAACTCATCTCTTCTGCTGTATTACGTTGTGTAGAAGTGAGTCATTAGATCTAGCTAGGGTGACCAACTCATCCTCATTTTTCCAAGACTTTCCTGCTTTTACCTCTGAAAGTTTCATATTTGGGGACCTCCCTCAGGCCTTCCTGGGTACACCAGGACGGTTGGTCAGCCTCAATCCAGTCTATACTCGAAGGCAAGGAGTTACACAAAAGCATGAATACCAAGAAGTGGGGATTGTTAGGGGCCACCTTGGAGGCTGCCTACCACAACCGTCTTTCTAAGATTTTGTTTTCTTCATTCTTGAAAAAGAAGCCCTGGAAGCCATTTCGTGGCTCATAGATACGCCTCTGTTTTTTAATGGTATGATAAATCATGTTAAAGTGAATCAAATAAATTAATAAATCATTTATCAATGATATTTATTTATTATTTATATATTATATATTTATTTATATGTATGATATTGATAGTATTTATCAATTATTTAATTAATAATTAAATAAATACATAAACCAACTTTAGAAACAATTCCCTGAGGCGCGGGGGAGGGATTGAGATTTATTACATACATGTATTTTTTTTTCTATGTGGTCATTATTTCAAAGCAGATATTAATATTGGTATATCAGTTCTATCTTTTATTTTGATTTCTAGAATTCCTGGCCAGATTTATGACCTATATCCCTTAAACCAAAAGCTGTATTATACTGTAGATGACTTAGAATCCACAAAAGGGTAAAATGAAGTAACAAGAAAAACAGCTCAAGATTTTTGCTTATTTTCAGACATATTTTGGTGCTTTGTGTTTAACATGACAGTATTTCTACTGTACATATAATATTGAATCCTACTTTTCCCCATTGATATTATTAACATTTTTTATCTTATTACAAATTCTTCATTGATGTGTGCTTTTTTTTTATGGCTACATATTTTTTTCAAGTAAGAGGATGTACCATGATTTTCTTTATATTTCTCCTGTGGCTGGGTATTTTAATTATTTTGAATTTTAAATATATGTAAAATTTTAAACCCAGATTTTGATTCTGACTCAGAAAGAGAGTACAAATATTATTCATTCATTCCACTATTCATTCAAGCAATGAATATTCTAATGCAATCTAACCTAGAGCTGTGCACTATGTCCAGGGCTGAGGACATAGAAGGGAGACAGAAGGACTTGTTTACTTTTTGAACTTCATGTAACTTAGAGGCTATTGGATCAGTAAAACAAAGTGTCATTCTTTTCATCCACCCACTGTGGCTTTGTGCTCTGTTATGGCCTCTACTTATGCTAGTCTGACCT